ATATCTGAAGTTAAACCTTTGACATGTTTGGAGTAAGACTTTTCAGTTAAAACAACACAAATTCATTCCAACAGAAAAAAAAGAGCAGATAAAAATCTGTCCTGCAACTATAGATCAGTGTTTTTCTTCCGTAGTTTCCCAACATTTTAACTTTAAAAACAAAACAAAGCATCACCTGTCAGGCAACAAACAAGTATAAAATACATAAAGTAAATATAGTGAAACGTAATTTATCATATAATATTAATATCATCTCATTGTTGGTATTTGGGATATGGATTTTATTGAAAAATGTAAGTGTGATAGGATTGTGCTTTTGCATTTACTTACTTCTCTATATACTGTCTACTTGTTATTATTTATTTATTTTTTTGCAGGTCGTAGTAATATTACAAACGGCAATAAGGTCAGAAAAAGTCAAAATAAAACAAAATAAAATGTCCAAAATGTGTGATGTTGTACCAATGAGCTCTCTGGTCTTAGCTTCTATCTCCCCAAGAAGAGTCTCAGGATTGGCCATGGACTTCTCCTCATCACAGGAGTAGTTTTCCAAAAATCGCTTGTATTCTGGATCTGAGTGAAATTCAAAGAAAAAAGAAAAAAAAAAAAGAAGGGACATGAAATACAGTTTAAAACGTTTATACGCTAAACTTGTGCTGAATTTATTCTAAAGACATACAGGAACAATGTAAATGCCACACAAGATTAGTACATTTAATGAGAATCGATCTATTTTCCTCTGTTTTCCAACCTTCTTCAATGCTTCCGGCTTTGGCATCTTTCTTTTTCAGCTTCTTTTTGGAAATCTTCTGGAAAGGCGCAAACTCTACCACAGCGGGGTATTCCTGACCTGGGTCAATATTGAAATACGAGTCAAATTAAATAGACCAGCTGTCAAAAGGCAACAATGGCAACAAATGGTCTAATTCACCTTCATAAAAGTCAACATTTATCTCCAGAGATTCTGTTTGTATTTCATACAGCTGAACGCCGCAAGTCAACATTGAAGGCTAAAGCTGTCAACACAGACAAAATGGGCTTGGAAAGAATTAAAATACCCTTATTGTCGATAAAGACATAGCCATCAAATCGATCCCTGAACAGCAGGATGTCTTCTGTGCTTTTAAAGTTGATATAAGCTCGGGAGAAGAGGTGGGGATAGAGACTGTAAAGGCAAAAACCGGTCAATAAACGAGGATGAAAACAGTAGACTATTGAACCACAGGGCTATAAAACCTCACCGTACCTTTGATCTGCTGGGAAAAACTCAAAGTAGTCATAAGAGGGAAGAGGACTGAGATGCTCTTCCAGTTGTTCCTTTGACAGGCTAGGAGGGAGTCTTCGAATAACCACCTGAAAAAGACAACAAAAAAAAGTCATACGTGTGTTTTTCCTATTCAACGAAAAGTGCAGGAAATGAATTTTACATCAAAGTGATTAAAGTTTTGACCTCCATAATTTAAACCTTCAAAGTGTACGTCACAGTCACGATACGATCTGCGCCTTAAAGGTCTTTCTGGTGACCTTCTTTGGTGTAAGAATGACCTTCAAGGTTGTTATCAATTCATCTGAATATAAGTCAGTAACCCTGTGTTACTGATATGAAGGGATGTGACTGAACTCCATCATTATTTGGATGATATTTACATCTCCGCTGTTTGGAAAGCTGCTATTTATTGGCTCCCCTGGTAAACAGGGGATTCAAATAAATTAAGCTTTTTTGTATCTAGAGAGATTGTGGAAAGTAGAATGGTCAAAAACATACTGAAAAATATGACAGAACAACATTAAGCATTGCTTTGGTTGTTGCACAAGCCAGTGATAGCACTGGTGTATTTTTTAACACATATTGTAAATCTAATAATAATAGTATGGAATGACAAAGACTCAACACACAAAGAAAAAAAAAGCAAATACTAATCAGAATTAATGTTGATGCCAATTTTCAACACTCATATGATTGGAAAATCAATGCCACGCTATTGATACACAATATTTCTTGTGTATCATAAACATCAACAGCCTTATGTTCAATGAACACAAATAGAGCTCAAAATGAAGGGACTCACAATGCTTTACAATATATCAGTACATGTCAGTTTGTTTAAAACGCTTAGATCCTTTAAAAGGTGGTTCATTAACTACATTAAAACATATTTTGATTTACATATTGTGAGAGTCATCAACAGCTCCTGGGTTCCCCCTGCTGTTAAACTAAACACTGGCTTAGTTCGCTTATACCTCGGCTGGTTCTGGACACTATGGTACAATACGGTGTAGTTTGCGACTTCTTGAGATACAGGAGCAAAAACTAAATAAATAAGCTTTGTTTTTTTTGTTTTTTATATGAAGGAATAACAGGACATTAAGCTGTGCAGCGTTTACATGATTCTTTCGTTAGACTGTCACCTATTAATGTTAGCTTCATAGCAGAAACATGTCCAATAACTGTAGCACAGAAACAATTCAAAAGGAAAAATAAAAAATAAGAGTCTGCATAGCTTTCCCACTGCGTCCTAAAATTCCCCTCTTCTGATCCTGTTGCTATCCTTGGTGCTGAAACATCCTTTCCTCCCCTCGAGTCTCCATGTCTGCTCTTCGTAAACAACAGCTCGGCTATGTACCTTCGTAAAAACCTCCTTCTTCTCTTCTTTCGGTTTAGCGTTGGCGGGAATGTTTTCTTGCTCTCTTGGGACGTCTTTTAATTGTATCTCGAAGATGCTTTTCTCCTTACCCGCGGTCATTTGGTCCTTATCAGACCTCATTTCTTCCCATCTCCCTTAAATTCGCTTGGCGTTAAGCCTTACCGTGTCCTCGCGAGACTATAAGAGTCAAATATCGCGAGTGGTAAGAAAATGCTTTTTTGCTTAATGGTTTTTACAATTCTTTCTGGTTATTTAGTTGTGTGGAACGTTTTCTGAATTCTCTATTTACACTGTATGTGTATACTAAGTCTAATTTATTAAATTAATAAAAACAAGAACTTCACCTGAACTTATATCCAGTTTGAGGTCAGTCTGTATCAGATGCTTGGAGACTGGTGGTTCTGTTTGGCTCTCGGATCGAATAGGAAGAGCTATAAGAAGTAGAGCTGCAGGAGTCAAGTTCTCCAGACTGGTTCCCTACCCGCCTGTAGGAATCTCGGAAGGGAACTGAAAATAAATGCACAGTGTTGCATTTCACCTAAGTAAAAAAAAAAAGCCAAGTTTTCTACCTCTAATTTTTCACTGTACCCATAAACTCACCATTAAGTAACGTGTTCTTTCCACTGCTGGTATCGAAACGCAGCCGGGGTCCCTCAGGTGAGGATACAGAGCTCTTCAAGTTGGGGACAACAGTGGAACAGGTTTCCGGATCTTGACAGATCCGATCGTTGGTGTAAATGCCGGTCGTCTTAGACGGAGTACAGCCCATTTCTAATCCAACTAACAGGCATGACATCCATTGAAAGGCGCGCTGATCTCGGTTTGCACACAGGATTTAGGAGAGTTGTCACCAGTGGCGGTTTTTGCATGAATGGATCTCAGGTGAGCCCCTCCTTCCGTTGCCCCATCCACGACTGAACACACGCCTTCTCACTGATAAAACATTAAAACATATTGATCTTATAAAATAGGATCTGGATATACAGATGGATGAATGAATTGATTTCAACAAACCCAAGAATATACATATTCCAAATAAAGGTTTCTTAAATCACAACCCGTTTTAAACATCTATGTATTTCATCCAGATTTAACCAGTTGGCATAATGTGTTTACATGCTTTTCTAATACTAAATGATATTCCACACACAGGGACAGACAAAAACAAGGCATACGAAGATTTTAAGATAAATGTGTGGTTTATTGTAGTAATAACCAAAAATCAAATCAGATTTTTCTCAGCCAGCTCTTTCGACAGAGTGAAGATCCACAGGTTAATCAGCAGGGAGGATCCTGCCTCAGGCATTAACCGAGTGACTTTAAACGTCCTTGTGTTGCGAGGTGTGTGGCTGTGTTTGTTCCTGTCAGGGGTCCACATGTTCCCAATGTTTTTAACCCCCCAAGTAAAATGTATTCAACCCTTGAAACAAGGCATGTGTTCACCTCCCCCTCCTTTAAAGTGCATTCTTGTGAAATTGTGGTACAACGCCATGTGCTGCATACAAATTCAGCCACTTATATGTTAAAAATCTTCACAAGAGCATTCTGATACAAAAATAACACACAGAACGGGGAGTCCACATGGTGGAGGACATCTGCTAAGAGTTTTTGACCGACTGCTGTCCTCGGGGCGTGGACATGTGTAGCTATGACGACCAGTTGCTACAACAGTTCCACCTCCTGACGGGATGAAATCACGTGCTGGCGTCTGATAGGGTGTCCAGCATCACGTCGCTCTCGTACATGTCACACTCCAGCGTTAACGAGAGCCGGAGAGGCGTCTCCAGCATCATCTTTTCCTGATTGGACGCCGGCGTCTCCAACATCGACAGGTTAGTCTCTTCCGACCTTGGCGTGGCTTGAAGGTCAGTCGACTCCGATGTGTTCAGCATCTTCATCAGGGCCGGGGTGTTCAAGCTGCCTCGCACTTTGTCATTGATGTCAGTGCCTTTTTGAAAAATAAATAAATATTTTTTTTTAAACTTGCAGAATTAATGCAAGTATTGTTCATGCTTATTGTTTTATATGGGTATTTGAATTCAACAACTGAACTAAGGTAAAACCATTGTAAACCACTGCTCATATTTTCCTACAATGCTTTGTCTTATAGATATTCTAGAAATGATTTTATAACTCATTTATATTGCTACTTATGATAATTGTGGACATTTGCAGAATGTGATAGAGTGGAAACACCTTTAAGAAATGAGCCAATATGACATAATCTTCAGCAAAATGTGAAACATTCCAAGACTTTACTACCATTTCTAATCGTAGGGCACTATGAAATCTGTTTTATTACTTTACTGATAAATGTTTTTCCTGAATTTCACTCCCTTTTCTCTGCTTTCCATTCTAACTATATTAATTATCCAAAAAGTGTGTAATTATGGATCGAATGGACAAAATCTAACAAAGCAGCAATCATAGGATCCTATCTAGTCATCTAAAATCATTCTTAACTTAGCACATCATATCTACATGTCTTACATTAATGTGAACATTTTTTTTAGATTTTATTTTTGTTAAAACAGCTCCTTAAAATATGAAGAATTTTTTTTATTTCAGACCAAGTGAAACTGCTAAAGATATTCAGAGTAAATATAAATATATATTTATTGACTTCCAATATAACACAAACCTATATATGCATCCGTGTCCCCGATGTACATCTCAATACAATGGCCAAGCATCGTCACTGAGAAAGTGTCGTCCCTTTTCAAACCGAGTGCCTATCATAGAAAATAGCAATTAAAAAAAAACAAAAACACAATAACTCTGGCAACAAAAAAAAAAATAAAATAACCTACATCAATCCAATCTCAAGCTACTTTTTATACCCCTGTCAAAATTGTAACCAAGCACCAACAAAAACATTTCATGAAGGTTCTATAATTTACTTGAAATATTTTACTTGTTCAAACTAAAATGCTTACAAATACATCCTTACAAATACTTCTTACACACAACCTCTCTGGTTTTAACAACAACAAACTACCAACCACACGAAACTGCACCAAGTTGAGAAATCAAAGTCTTTTAAACCCACCGTGTGAAAGTAGTCGATCGCACTTTCAAAGTCCCCCATGAGGCTGTGCACGTATCCTATGGCGGAATAGGTGGAGGCATGCTGTGGGATCAACACTAGAGCTTGACGATGGTACTCCAGAGCCTGGTCGTACTTTCTAAAATATTAAGTTTCAAAAAGCTGTTATTCAAAGACTGAATTTAATAAACTAACATAGAAGATTGACTAACATTTAGTTCTTGTATTTATCAGATGACACAAAGCATTCCTACAATACCTTCGACTGTTCAAGTTTCAGTTTTTTAAACAAGGATGCTTTTTCTCCCCCCCCCCACAGCCTCAGAGGCTTAGCAGTTAACAGATTAAAAATAAATCTATAGTAGGTTCAAATACAGCTTACAAGGTGTTGATCAGTTTATATTAGGACATAAAAAAACACAACACAATTTAATGGCCGTGTACTTACTTTAGTTTTCTACACACGTGACCCAGGTTGTTCAACAAAGGTTCCCACTTGTCCACGGTAACCTTAAATTAAGTCAAAAATTAAATTATAAGTAATGCTTATGCAGAACGTGAGTTTTAAAGCCATGTATTAAATTGAAATGAATCACCTCATTCCCTATGGCTTTGATTTTCTCCATTGCATCCAGAAATAACCTTTCTGCCGTTTTCCACCTGCACCAGTCGAGGAGGCAAAACATGCAGATATTTTATAAAACAGCAGCTTATGCTAGCAATATTTGCAGAACACTGTTTGGTTATTTGATCAACAGTGGTAAATTCAGTAAAAAGGGTCATCAAAGAAGCTGCACAAAGACTAAAATTAACTTTTAAAAAACATTTATCTATTAGGAATACTGTGTTTTGTCTGATTGGACCAATATACTCACTCTCCATTTTGAAATGCAACCACTGCCACCTCATGTATGACAAACGGGTCTTCTGGGGCAATACTAAGCGCCTGGCTGAAAAAACGTTCTGCCAGTTTGGAGTTGTTAGTCAGACCGTACTCCAGGCCGATGTAGAGCATGGGTAAGTGACATCTGTGGAAATCAAACAGATTTAATGTACAAGGAAAACATGTAGTATTGTAAAAGAAAGTAAAACTTGGCAAAAAAAAAAAAAAAAGGACCACGACAATGTAAATAAACTTGTTTTCAAACTGTTTAAAGTAATCAGGAGGAGCCATTGTATTGGGTCTGAGTTTGATATCATCATCTTGAGGATTTGAGAACTTATTTTTTGAGTAGGAAAGCTAATGATCCAATAAATCCAAATGCAAAATACATTTCTAAATATGTCTGTTTATACATCATCTCGAGGTATTTTTGTTGTTGCCTCGAGTGTATTCATGCAAGAAAAAGTCTGAGTACTTTGCATAGAAGTAAATATTTTACTAATTATCCCTGCTCAATTGATTGTTACCACAGAGACCAAATTATATGGTAACAATTCAACATGTTTAGGCATGAAGGTGTAATGAAGAGAATTTACTGAAGTTCACACTGACCATAAAAATCAGGGGGAAAACAAACAAAAAAAAAAAAACAAGATTTGAATGTAACTTGATTATTGATGTGAGTAATACAGAATCTGCTGCTCAAAGTAAGAGACTGGCCTAAAAACAAGAGACAATATCAAGTGGGAACCAGTTGCTACCTACCCTTTCATCAGCTGAGCAGCAGTGAAGTATGCAGCCATGGCTTGGTCATGCTCACTTTCCACTGCAAAGGAGTGACCATAGGCGATCCACGCAGGACCATAAGTTCTCTCTAGAGTGGTGGCTTTGCTGCAGGAAATAAAAGTTAAAAAGAAACCCGACTTCAAGAGGAACAAAGCAGGACACCTTTTCTTTTGACTGCAAATACCTACCTAAGGTATCGCCTAGCGTGCTCATTTTTGTTGCCAACCATGAGATAATAGCACCCAACCGCAAACCAGGAAACCTGAGAAAAAAAAAAGTCACTTAGTTACAAACACAAAAACAAGCCATTGCTTGAATTTCTAAAGAAAAGATGGAAAACAAAAAATACGTACTGGATTGTTGGGGTACAAGTCTACAAGTCTGTGCGAGAGGTAAAACAACTCTGCAATGAAAAAAGAAAAACTGATCAGTCCTGTTAACTCTAATAAATGTTGTCTGTAAATGCATGCAA